ATGCAGCATCTCTGTTCATTCCCGCTGCACAATTCCCCGTAAATCCGCTTCTGTTCCCCTTCACTCCTAGATCGTTTATCTGCGGTAATGAAAATAAGCTGTCTCAGTCTCGAATGAGAGAACTGGGGGCCCATGTGAGGGGGAATGAAAATTTTGACGCACAGTGCATCTTATTTATATAACTGGCACTAATGTCGCTCTGCCTGCTATAGCCGGCAATGAGAACTCCAAGAAAACAATGATAAAGGTATATATATGGTATCTTGAATTGATATCGTGTTTGAGAAAATATTGGTGAAGTGCATGGACCAATATTGATATTCCAAGCTACTTAAGTGGCCACAAACAAGCCATAAGTGCGCTGCGACACTAATTTCATCCCAGTCCCAGACCGACTTGCATTGATATGCATCTCTCCATTGCTGCCAACGTCCGATTCCATGTCTTTTTCAACTCTCTCCACGACTCCATCTAAAGAGAGCTCCCAACCAGAGGATCAGCACAGTGCAAGCCTCATTTTATCAGGAGCTCAAGGCAGCACTCCCTATCCGTTAAACCATCAGCAATGTGAGAGAATCCCAGATCCATGTCCTGTTCCTTTTTTGTGTGGACAACACTGTATGACCCATTCTATGTAGACATACAGAACAATAATGTGTTTGCAAAACGATGTGGCAATGAGCAGGACCTCGATTTTGAGTCTCAATTTCAGCAAACATAGCTGATCGTTCAGGAATTCACAGGGGACGAAACGGTTTGAGAAACACCCTCCAGGCTTGAAGTACATAAAGAATCCCTCGTACTGCCCATCGGCCACCGGTTTAAGTGACAGAAGTCCAGAGCATATCAGAGACACCGATGAAAGCCGATAAGGCAAGGGTTAACAGAACTCATGGATTGGATAACGAGGACACTGTGCGATTTTGCACCTGCACATGACCCAAAACCTAGGATGAATTTCAATCATACCTGTTAATCAGCGGGAGAAAGACTAGAGTGTGATGTCTAGAGCATGATGTCAAATGTGGTTGAGCATCGCACTCAGGTAATCCTCGCCCTTTTATGTCTATCTAACTATATAACAAAGCAGACAACAACGGTGAAGCTAGTGCCTCTGGCGCTTTGTGCGACTAAGGGTTTGCCTGCAGCTCCACCTCCCCTTTGTCCTCATGTGGCGTCAGGCTGCCATGACAACAATACCAACTGATGGGAGCATACATTGAGGACCGTGCCAAACAGTGTGTATGTAGTCCCACAATGCATCAAGCACTCTCCACCCATTGATGTTAAGGAAAAACTACAAAAACTACCTTGCATGTGTTGAAATATCTTGTTTCCTGGTTGTACGCTGTGGACTACTCGACTGTGTCCGGACATATGTATAGATCTTGCACACAGGCATTTCCATGAAGGATTGCCCGATGCTATACTTTCGGGACCCATGTTGATGAATTGTCAGGGCACGCCACCGTCGCCACCGCTGCCACCTCCTTTCCTTTCGTCTCACCCTCTCTTTCTCTCTTCTTTCCCTCTTCTCTTTTTTCTATCTTTATACAGACGATCTCTCTCTTTCTCTCCTACACTTGTAGCACGGACACGCCCGACGCTGAGCACCCTGTAGGGACACTGCCACGCCGGACGCGCCGCACACTCCTACTTGTATTTCCCCTCCAACACTCAGGATCGACCGCAGAGCCACCCGCGGTAACCTGGCTTCGTCCGAAGGTGACGTGGCACTCCCACGTGACCCATTCACACATGTATATAAACTAAGCTGAAGCAGGACCGAAGAAGTAACCTTCTTCTCATTTCCCGCTTCAGGCAAGTACCCTAGTTTAGTCTAGCTTCCCACCCTAATAACAATACATTTCCCACTTCAGCCTAAGAAGCCACACAGGGACATAAGCCCGAGTAAGGGCTGTCCACTATATGGTCTCACCGCCCTGCCGCCGTCCGGGCCGCTAGCACCAAGCATTACACCGCTACCCCTGCCTTCCTCGAGCCGTCCCTGACATGAATGCAGTCGAGGATGGCTTAAAAGCCACCTCGCGCGATTTTTTTTTTTTTTGGAACTGAGGTAAAACCCCCTTTTCATCACTTGGAATATTGCCTAGCACTGGTAATGATTAATAACAATAGTTCACGATGTTGGAACTGAGCGCTAATTTGCGACTAGTTCATATCTTCAATAGCATGGTCAAGTGGAGAGATCAGACACACAGTTTAAGGATGGAATCCCCACCAGAGAACCACCCTTATTCCCTGACTATGTAGGTCGCATTCTGTGCACCCATTCCCCTCAGTAAGATCCATTTGTTTCCATCGAATACGAATGAGAGGGCCCACAATTTTGAGTCTCAATTTGAAGGCCAGACTGTTGCAGAGAGCGCAGGCGATGTGAGAGGACCAGATTGTGGAACGATACCCAGGTTTGAGATATAGAGCCCCCATCACTTTGAAAACCCAGCAGTCACCGCTTTAATTGAACAAAGCCAACAGCATGTGTATCAGAGACACTGGATTCACGATGGAGAGGCAGGGGCTGGAGATATTCTTACGATGAGGATCAATGTGTCGAAATCGTGAGAGTATGCGAAGCACACTCTCGTTGTTTAAGTGTTTGGACTGCAAAGACTTATTTATATACAAACCCAGGCAAGTCGAGAACCTGCTGTATCCCAAATCTTGTGCAGAGGTTGTGGCCGAATTCAACAACCTTAGGATTGCAAATCATATTGGAGTTATGAACTAGTCACGAATTAGCGCTCAGTTCCAAAGATGTGAACTAATGTTATTAATCATTACCTAGTTGCGAATTAGCGCAAGGAAATATATAAAAAGAAAAAGACTCAAATTTACGATGTGAAACCTCTAGGTTCCTACAATTTTCAGCAAGACAAGAATGACTTGTACATTTATGACCTTAAACCTGGTGATTTTGTCGCCACTCAATGCATACTCGAAAAAATCACCGAACACCAACCTCTAGAGCTGCATTATCTTGGTGATGGGCCCAAATCTCTCAATGACATTGCCAACCTCACAGCGTCCCCTCCAAACACACCATTTGTAAGCTAGGGTTTCAAACTGTGTTTTGCCCCATTCTAATTATTATTCACCCAAGGATGAATGCCCTTCTTGTTTGCCTGTACTATTCTCTTCCCGTTGAAGAGAGATTACTGTACTATAGCGTTCAATGTACATACTCAAATCGGACCCATTCATTCTCTTAAAGCTGTGCAAGTAGGGTTTTGATTCACATCACGTGCTGCCCATCTTCCTGTGTCGGAAAATCCCGTATAACATCTAAATGCCCGGTAAACATTTCATGGCATTTTTTTACAACAACCATCCAACAGCCGATGAGAATGCATTGGCCAGATGTGGTGGTACTTTATGTGTTAGATGAGACAAGTTTTTGATGATTTCGATGCGGCAAGAAGCATTTATGACACATTTGTTAAATTGTTAAAAACATATTCAGAGCGTTTCAGGGGTATAAAAACAGATTTGATTATATTAAAACACCCTAAACAATTTACCACAGCACTTAAATGCCAAATTTCATGTCTAAACGTCAAATTTTGGTGTTTAAATGTCAAGTCTCGTGATTTTGATTGATTTCGCGATTTTCCGACATGGGATTGCCACTCGACACATCGTGATAACACACAATGCCACGCAAAGCAATGCCCAAACAATTCTCATCCTTTGTCAATATCATTTTCGAGGACAAAGGATTCCAGCCTGAAGATGACTTGGCACTTGGTGTTCTTGCCTGGAGCCCTGAGACACGGGACCAATGGTTGACCTTAGGACCCAAACCCCATCGTCATTTGAGCACCAAATTTCCAGAACCCACTTTCAAATGGAGTGCTGCCAGGGATATTTTTCCTCGGCTTACTGCCTGTATGCTGGCAGTTCGTTTTCATTGGATGGTGGACGATGTAATGGGTCTATCACCTAGACTCGAGACAGAGAGAAGGGGGAGGGTGGTAGTGTGCGCAGGTGTGGTTCGTGAAGCCGGGTTTTGGTCCGTGGGTGCTACTGAGTCTGCAAAAACCTCAAACAAACACTCACCTACGTCTCTCTTGGACGTCAAGGCTGAGTAGTATGATGAGAGGGGTCTTAGACGTTATCAACTAGCTCAATGGGGGCGTTAGGGTCGTGGATGGCGTCTTTGCCACTTGGATGCAACTTCTGCTTGTCCCTTCACGGGTCTATTCAATACTAACTTGTTATGTACAAGCTGTTATCTAGTTTATATATGTTTGAAATGAAATAAATGGACTGGGGGGATGTAAACGGGCCGTTAGGCAACCGTAAATGATGAATATCCAATTGGGAACAAAGAAACAATAAAAGAAATATGAATGAATGGGGAATATATCATAACGGGTCCGAAATGGGAAATGTAAAAGTTAACTCCGCAACGCTTCGCCACAGCGCCCGCCTATCCTCCCGTCAGCAACCTCCTCGTCTCCAGCTTTCCAACGAGCCCCTATTCGTCCCATTTGGTGCAGTAGTTGTTGAGATGTGGCCATTGACAGGTGCTGTCAAGACCACGTGAGACTCTACTCCATGCTGAACCATCCAGGCATGGGATTGCCATTCTGGGAAATGCTCCGGGGGTGAAGGAAGGTAGAGCATCACTATCGGGTGGAAAAATGGCTGGGTTGTATGTGTAGGTATGGAGATCTGGAGAGGGGGTGAAATTGGCGGCGTGATTGGGCGTGGGAATTTTGCTTGGGGTTGTCAGGAATGATGGGGAAAATAGGGAAAAATAAGGAATGAGTTTGTGGAGTGTTGGATAGTGATAGAATGAACATCGGGAGCGTCAGAGGGTATGTGGTATGTGTTGGTGGCCAAATTCCGCAGAATCCGACTTTTTGTGGTACACGGAGTTGTCCCCACAACAACGACCCCCCTCTCGACATAGCACCCATTGATTCCTCATGGCTAGCCAGTTATCCTCCTCCTGAGGCGACCAAGCGGAGTGTACGGTATTGGCTAAGCAGGATTCCAGAACGCCTTGTTGGGCTACATGGCCTATTTCCTGGTTTCTTCCAGCTCTGTCATATCCATCCCCGGCCATCGACTTCCGGTCCCTCCGTTCCCCCCAGACTAACTCCGCTCCTTCTTCACTAACCTCGGAGCTCCCGTATTCCGCAATCCTCTCGGTACCCCTCGATGGTCACCACCCCCTCATTTCAATTTATTACCTATGCCTCCCTAAGTATGGAGCCCCAAAGACTTCCGGACAGCTCCGATGTCCGCTAGCGCACTCCTGCCTCCGCTGGGCAATACACTCGCCTGCCCTGCAGAGCCCACCTTCGGGCCTATCCCTCCTTTCCATTTCTGGGTTATCGCCTGCCTTTCCGCTAACCCTGCGACCCGACTCGTCGGTAATATTCAGTCGGCTAATGTTTAACCCCGTTAGCTCCGCTCCGTTCGGCTCCACCAATTGTGGACCCGTCTTCGCTGTAACCATATATATATCCCACTTGTACATAGGTTACACCCCAGTAATAAAATCAACTAGAGTTACCCCCCCTTAGGTTCTGATCGCCAGTCAGTAAGTTAGGGCACGGACGTGTCACTAGGCACAGCGCTCCTGGCAGAAGTCGCTGAGGCCAAAGCCCTCTGTTATGGAGACACTCCCTCGTCTCGAATCCGGTCTATGACAAGCTCCTCGCTTCTCAAACCCTACCCCACAGTCCTGTTCACACCTCAGAAGAGTTGATCCAGCACAGGTTGCGTTTTGACACCGGATCTCAGCAACTATGTCTGCTGAGTCATGTCTATTACTGTGCTGCTGCTCTGAAAAACATCGCAGAGTTGGGCCCTGAAAGATTTTTTGTGAGTATTGTCAAGTTTCTTCCTTGCAGGATCCTAAAGTTCCAACAGGAACTGAATTTCTGTGCTTCCACTGAGCAGTAGGTTTTTCCCGTTCTCTCGATGGATCTCCCACTGACAATCTTCCAGTCAATCATTTGTTAGCCCATTGATTATGGCTATCTTGATTTCCCTGCTCGTCTTACTCTTTGATACCACCCTCACCAACCCTACAACTCTCCTGACTATCAATACCATGTTGACACATGCTGCCTTGCGTGGTGGGTTTCAGAAGTTCAATGGCCCCCAGGCAGTGCTCGAGAACACTATTCTCAAGCTCATATTTTCTGTCACCCAGAATGGGTGTATTTCCCAAGACAGCCTCAATGCACTCCAGAGTGCATGGGAAATGGTTTCGCTGTCCATTCCAGAGTCCATCAACTGTGTCTCTGACCCCCTCTCTGACTCGGAGGATGAAGGGTCTACTGTGCAATCGGTCTCTGACCAGGATGCCAACTCATCAGTTGCTGGGCCATCTGTGGCCCATTATATTTCACAACCCCCCGAATTCCAATCATCTTTCGCTCCAAAGTCCATGGTCGAGCCACCAGCCTCAGCCCAGCTGTCGGAATTTTTCACGGCCCAACCACCAGTGCGTCCCAATCCACATTTGGACATTCTTCTACACCTCGATTACCCACACCCCAACATCCTCCTACACCTCAACCACCCACACCCCAACGTCATTCTTCTACACCTCAACTGTTATAAAAATGGGGCCTAATTGGCCCATTTCTATAGCGTCTGGGTGCAGGAGGGGGCCGTGACATTGAGAAGATGTTACAATTAATGTAACAGATGTTGTAACAATGGGGTTTACAATAACATGGACATCGGGTGTTTTGGGTGATAATTGTTGGTTAGGTTGTTATTATTTACATGTCACGTGATATTGTACTGCATAGAGCCCATAAGAGGCTAAAAATGGGAAAATCCCATTTCCATAACATCGACCACCAGCTCCCCACCCTCCTGCAGCTCACACACCCCAACCTCAATCACCCCCCCAACATTCCGCTGATCAACAGAGGATTTCTGGTGAGAAGTTCAGTACTGGACAGAGGAGCCAATCTGCCCCACTCCAATTTCGACCTCACATTTTCAGTGAGGGTCCAGAACCTGCACCAAGCCAAGGGCAATTTGATACCCGGAGGAGCCGATCAGTCCCAGCCATGTCTTCCACTGCATATCGACAAGTGGTACCTACTGAGCCCATTGCAACCCAAGGGGAATGTGATACTGAGCAGAGGAGCCTCATCAACAGCGATGCCCAGACAACCATACTGCCTTTGCAGACTCAGGAGCCATCTTCCACCTGTCAGAAATGCAAACACAAGGGGGGGAATGGGCCTCGACCTCGTAAAAAGAGACGAGCTTAACTCCAATGGGTGCATCCAACTGATTCGCATGATCAAGGAGCAAACAATGTCCTTCTTACTCTCTCAAGATGCTGTTCACTCCTGGCCCGATGTCACCGCTGTGGACACAACACTGACTTCAAGTGAGGCTTCAGAGAATGCTGGTCCTGATCCAGATGCAGGCCCCAAGGTAAAGTTTCCATATTTGTTGTCAGGCAAACAAGGCTGAGAACTCCACAGTCCCACCTTCATGTAACCTTACGAGTTGGCTCTCTTGTTGATGGGAAGGCATCCCTTCATAATTCTGACTTCTGTTTCCATCCTTCAATGATTTGGTGAGTCATTCCCTATTTCCTTGCTCAGGCAGCTGCTGACAGCACTGCAGGCATCTTCACGTCGTCTGATGTGTTATGTAAATTCACTGCAGCATGATTCTGAGGGTTGGACGCTGTTGTGGGGACAACTCCGTGTACCGCAAAAAGTCGGATTCTGTGGAATTTGGTCACCAACATGCAGTACATATCCGCTGATGCTCACGATACCCATTCTATCACTATCCAACACTCCTTACACTCATTCCATATTTTTCCATATTTTCCCCATCATTCCTGACAACCCCAAGCAAAATTCCCACGCCCAACCACACCGCCAATTTCACCCCCTCTCCAGACCTCCATACCCACACTCACAACCCAGCCGTCTTTCCACCCGATAGTGATGCTCTACCACCCTTCTTCACCCCCGGAGCATTTCCCAGAATGGCAATCCCATACCTGGATGGTTCAGCACGGAGTATACTCTCACGTGGTCTTGGCAGCACCTGTCAATGGCCACATCTCAAGAACTACTGCACCAAATGGGACGAATAGGGGCTCGTTGGAAAGCTGGAGATGAGGAGGTTGCTGTCGGGAGGATAGGCGGGCGCTGTGGCGAAGCGTTGCGGAGTTAACGTTTACATTTCCCATTTCGGACCCGTTGTCACATTTTCCCCATTCATTCATATTTCTTTTATTGTTTCTTTGTTCCCAATTGGATATTCATCATTTACGGTTGCCTAACGGCCCGTTTAAATTCCCCCACCCCATTCATTCCATTTCCAACTCATATAAAATAGATAACAGCTTGTACATAACAAGTTAGTATTGAATAGACCCGTGAAGGGACAAGCAGAAGTTGCATCCAAGTGGCAAAGACGCCATCCACGACCCTAACGCCCCCTCTGAGCTAGTTGCTCACGTCTAAGACCCCTCACATCATAATACTCAGCCTTGACGTCCAAGAGAGACGTAGGTGAGTGTTCGTTTGAGGTTTTTGCAGACTCAGTAGTGCCCACGGACCAAGACCCGGCCTCACGAACCACACCCACGCACACTACCACCCTCCCCCTTCTCTCTGTCTCGAGTCTAGGCGATAGACCCGTTACAATGCCAGTCATGATGGAGGCTAAGCAGGTGCTGACCATGTCACCACATGAGTTCCAGGCCAATCTTGATGGTGGTACTCCAATCGTCCTAATGGGCCAGCCAGACCCCATAGAGTTCGACATTCCGATGCTCTTTGGCCTCTTGAATTTTCAGTCCAAGGTTGAGTTTATGGGTGAGTGTATGTCGTTTCACTACTTCCTGTCCATCAACCTCATTCTAGACTTCAACGATCCCCCATCAACTGGAATAGCACTAGATATGCATGCAGGCGATGTTATCTGTGAAATGTATCATTGGGAGACATCGAGGCCATTGATCATTACCCATGCCCCAGATGCCGCCAGCTTCTATCAGCCGATAGAGAGGTATTGTGTTTGTTCTTTTATCTATATTATATGTGCTTACACCTTTACAGGCTCTTGAATACTCATGATGCAGCACTGGCAGATTTCCCTCTAAGAGACATCCCTGTTCATGTCCGAAATTGGCAAGGGCTGGTGATCTCAGCCATCGGCTCCATCCATCCTCCCATTCAGGCTCCAAACGGTGTTGGCATGAGCCTTTATTGTGCCACTGGGCATGTCATCTTCTTCATCCCCCGTTTACGAGATGACCAGCACATCATCTTCAATTTCAATGACATTGATTTGCCCTTGGCTCTTGGCTTCGAGTACCTCTATGAAGCCCCATTTCGCTTCTCTTCCTTTGTCGTTTCCCCCAGTCAAACGGTGTGAGTGGCTTTTATTGTCGTTTGAACATCCGTTTAACATAGCTATCTAGCATCTTTCCCCCAGGGCAGATTTATGCCTATGCGACACTTGCTGTAGAGGGCCAGGTTAGCCCCTGGTGTGTCATGCAGAGTTCATAATTTCTTGCCACTGGGTGCATGAAGCGATCGTTTTTCGCAAGCTGGCTGGATCAGAGCTCCTCGGACCAATCGACAAGCGAGGACTCTACGGTCACTGTGTGTTTGATGGCTATGGTGTGGAAAGCTGCCCATGCGCTGTCAAGTGGTGAAGAGCCTCTTCATTCACCTTCCATTATCAACCTATTCTCACTGGGCTCCATGGCCTTGATGTTCATTGGGAAATATAGGCCACAGATACGCGAAATGGCTAAAGGGTTGTGCCATTATTGTGCAACCAAGCAGCCCCTTGACTGCTCTCTACTCCTGGATCAGTTCAACGATCCCAGAATCGCCAATCGTGCCTATGAACTGCATGACCTTGATCCTGATGTTCGCAAGGACTATGTGTCCAAAGCAGATTTCCTCCGTCAAGATATGATGCAAGCTGTGCAGCATATCCCAGCCTTGTAACATGTTACTACTATCCATGTGCTCCAAAACCATGTTTTTGCAGCAAATTAACACAGGACAGCTAAATGATACTAGTAAAGATATGAGATAAGTCAATGAATGAGCATGAGCATAGTAAAAGGTATATCAGCCTCAGTCTCGTGAGTGTAAACATCGAGCTTTTAAGCATCCATTACTAGAATGTAACAGGGGTAAACGTTAAGTGACCAACAGGTCGGAAAAAAGAAGATAAATGCTAAATAAACATGAAGTGATAAGAACTGACAAGATATAAACCTAACATCAATCAGATGTCTCACCAACATAATGTAAGTCGATCCTTGCGCTAAAGCACCGAGTCAACTGTTGCTGTCTCACAACACGAAGGTTCAAAGTCTGGCAGCGGCAGCACACGTGTATAACATTTCAAGTACTTTGCATGGTCAACAATCTCAAGACTCAAGGGGAGATTCTAGCATTGCCATGAAGAAAGATTCATTCTTTTGCTTGTGCATGCAGGCAAGGATGCAAAGCACGAAACAAAGGAAAGGTCCCACTCCACACAGTGTCGAATGCCATGTGACCTCAGAACTTTCTCATCGTGCCATCCAACCTCCCTCCTCTGACACCATCATGGTCATCTTTTGCAGAGGCACCAACTCGTGTGTGGGCTCAGAATAGTCATCAGAAGCAGGAACTTGAAGCTCTTGCTGGCCTCGGCCCTTGCACATACTCGGGCCTCAGCACTTTCTGTTGGATGAACAAGCCATGATGATGCTCCGGTACATACATCATGCTGATATCGGTTACCTTTTCACCATGTGCTCTATGTTTCACTGTTGCATATGTTCCACATGTAGCGCTTATGTGCATCTTATTCCTTTATTACTTTTGTCTGATATCCTGTTATTACTTTAGCTACTTATACTGCCATGCGGTTGCAATATGATTTAAGTTCTGTTCTCCCTCCCATTCAAGTGTCCCACTGAGTGCTCTAACAACACTTTCCTTCAGTTCCGCCCCTTACTGTGTAAATGTCAGGGCAATAGCCCCAAACCCTGAGTCACATGTAAATTAGATACATATAGTCACATGGGTAAGTGGGAACCTCCGGGTAACTGCTTACACACCACCGTAAAATACACATATTTGTATTACTTACAGCCTTGTGTGCTGAGCTACCCAAAGACCTCACACTTTTTTAAGTGTATGAGGTGTGTTTTACAACACAACCCACAACAACTATCTACTCTTAACATTTGACTCGGTAGCGCATATGGCGCCTAAACATGCCTGCAAGGGCAAAGTTGCATCTGCAGCGACACTATTAAGAAACTGCAATCTCCCATCATGGGAGATTCAAACCAAAAGCCATCGTCAGATGACAACGAGGATCAACATGATCCAGCATTAGCAACCACCTCAGGGCTGGCCCCTGAAGGTTTTAGAAACTTATGTGGAGTAAGTGCGGGGCCTAATACCCCCAGAACTCCACAACATACCGATCTAACCCAAACTGGGGAAGATCCCTCACCTCCTCACAAGGTGATCGACTTGCGTGATAAACGTGTAAGTGCCGAACGATCAGCCCAAAAAGCTGATTGGATAGAGTGGCAGGAAACTCCAGGGCCCAACTATCCCCTAGAGTCCCCCCTCACGCCCCCAAGTCAAGCCCCAAAGGCAGACAAAGGGAAACAAAGGGAAGAGCCCCCGCATCGACTATCCGAAAAACTACTGGACTTGTTCCAGGTTCCATCCAAATGGAGGACGGAAAGCGAAGACCAACTTCTTCTCAGGCTGAAAGCCTGAGAAGGTGCGAAGATACGCCCTGAGAGCAGGATCTCCCAGAGCGCAGAAGCTCCAAAAGAACTTCCGCTGTTTACACTCCCACATGCCATGCCAGACAAGGCAAGGTCACCAACCTCGGAGGAGGTCTCTGAGATAATGAAGAGGAGGCAAACTGAAATGAGGGAGTTCGCTGAAGAAGCCTTATGGAAAAGTAAGGAAAAACTAGTGAACAGACCCCTCTATGAAAGGGAAGCACCCTCCACAGTGGCCTTGCCTAAACAAAGCGAGCGTGGAGTGTTCACTCCAAGAACCCATTCTGGAACCCCCAGAAGTGGTAATGTCAACTGGGGAGAGTCCCTGCTCGCCCAACCAAACTTCCTCCTGGAAAACCAGGAATTGTGCATAATAAACGCGATAAACTCGATCCAAAAAAAGATCGAGGAAATGAACCACAACAGTACGGCTCATCTAGAGATAACTCTAGAAAGAATGGCCAACGCAATCGATGCGTTGACTGAAAAAATCAGCGAACAGACAGACTTGCTGAAGGAAATAAATTTCTCACAAAAAAGTGAGGAAACAAATAAACACCCCTGGACCACGGTCCAGGACATACATAGAACTCGTGAAAAATTCACGAAAAAACCACCAGTGAAAGCACACTGGAATATCATCAGCGACTCAACAGAGATGCTAAGGAGATCCTTCTCCCAAGGATAGGAGAAGACGATGCCAAAAGAAGGCATCGTTCAGAGATTAGGAGGAGAATTGGCACGTACCAAAGGTTCGGCCAAACATCCACTTATGACAGACCTCTTGAATAGAGAGGTAACTCAAACACACCCTCTCAAAACAATGAGAGAATCCAAATACAACTTCAGGCAAATTCGCCTGAAACCAAAGAAATGCTGCGAGGAAGATTTCCCCCAGCAAAAACCCCCCCAAAGGAGAGATCTCCATTGGATAGTGACCCCATGAAGGCAGGGGATCAAGAAGAGTACCTGGAGAAATGGTACGAAAAGGCCATAAGAATGGCCGAAGTGAGAATACTCACTCCTTACCCAGAAGGAGTGAAGCCTGAAGCCCTAAAAAATGGGCTGGCATTCCCTGACAAGAAATGGTCAGGGGAGAACGACATGGAATTGTTCTGGCAGTGGTTCACAGAACTACTGGGATTCCTCGCCTCGCGAGGATGCAAAGGTCCCCAATTTGACGAAGTCCACCTGGACTGCTTGATTTGTGGATTAGGGGGGCCCACGTTCGACCTTGGAATAAGACTCCGAGACGAAACTCTCCTCAGAGGAGATGAGGGCATGTTCCTCGAAGTTCTCAACATATTGATGAGAACTTTCATTAAAGCCTCTGCCACGCTGAACGCAACAAAGAAGTACCGCAACGTGAAATATGAAGTGGAAAAAGGCCTAAAACAGTTCTACCTAGAACTGTCCAAAGCAGCATCCCAGATGGTGACGCTGCCAGACCAGGTGTCCTTCAATGCCAGGTTCCTAAACTACATTCCCCTTGAATGGAAGAGGGAAATGATTGCTCATGATAGAATCAGAGCAGACTTCTCCTCAAACAAGGAGATGTAAAAGCAATATCTCATGTAGACGAGATAATCGATGGGCTGAAGATGTCTTCAGCCTACAAATCAGGTTACTATACCCGAACAACTACCACAGCAACCATGAGCTGCGGCAGAGCCCTCCCATCAGGAAAGAAGGGTGAAGAGCTGAAACCCAGATGGAAAGAGGATACATCCTCGAAGAACTTGAGGAAAACTGACCAAAAGTCAGTTCCAATTTGTGGCAAATGCGGCAAAATAGGGCAAACGAAAGATTGCCCAAGACACAATGTAACAGGTGATGAAAAACCAAGGCGCATAGCTGCCATGGAGATCGCGGCCTCAATGGAAGAAGAGTCGAAAGACTCATCAGATGAGAAACCAGAGAACAACTCTGGTAACTCCAAAGCATCAAGCTTCGAAGTAGAGGACCCATACGAAGGACCTCAATACTCACCCAACTCAGAGGGTGAGGAAGTCAACGTCGGGACCATAAGGATGGGCCCAATGTCAGTCATCGATCACAATGACATAAACTACAAAATCAAACTGGCTGTAGCACGCCAGTTAGAAAACATGGCAGACGAAAAAGTCGCCAAAGCCTTGGTAGAAGCACCAAGAAAAGACACCTTGGGGAAATACACCAAAGTACCCAAGGAAAACAAGGACAAAGGGAAGAAGGACCAAAAGTCCATCGAATCCCAGTCCCCCTTGTTTGATGCGAAATTCCGCATCTCAAAAGATGTGGGAAAATACCCTGCAAACAGACCGCTCTCAACAAAGAGAACGCTGACGGCTCACATAAAAATAGCAGGCATAAAAGCCTATGCGCTATTCGATAGTGGAGCTGAAATGGATGCTTTATTGCCGGACTTCGTCTGCACAGTCCACATCCCAATTCTCCAATTGGAGAACCCAGTCATCCTTCAAATGGGGATGAAAGAAACAAGATCACAGATCCTGTTTGGAACAAATGTGGACGTTGAGATCAATGGCCATGTAGAAAAACACTACTTCGATGTAATTAACATCAATATATACGATGCCATATTCAGCGCCCCCTGGTTAAACAAAAACCAGGCAAGCTTAGACTTCCGGTCCCACAAAGTGAGAACGGTGAACAAGGGCAACATAGACGCCCTTGGAATAAGCGAAGACCATGTGATGAGATCACATGGATGGAAAACTCGAGCAAGAGCTCGAGAACAACCAAAAAAGAAGCCCCCCTGACAGGGAGGCAGGATTGAAACACACCTCAGGGTAATCAAAAGAAAGTACCCTGAAGGTTGGCCCAATCCTAGTCCGGAAGGACTAGAACTTCCAGATGTACCACATCTGGAAGGCCTCTCCATGAACAACCCTGAGTTCGAAATACTCAGGGAGTGGTGGAGAGAGAAATTCGAAACTGTAATGGCACCAGCACCATTAGAAATGCCTCCCTTGAGGGAAGTGAACCACCAAATCCCATTGAAGGATCCAAACAAGAAATTTCGGGAAAACACCCCAAGATGTCCTGCAGCACTGCAGGAAGCACTAGCAACCAGAATAGATTGCTATGTAAAAGCAGGATGGTGGTATCCTGCGAATAGCAAGCGAGCATGCCTGCTACTGTGTATCCGCAAAGCAGATGGATCTTTGCACATGGTAATAGACGCGAGGAATCGTAACT